TCCCTAGGTCAGGCCCGCTTGCTGGAAAAGCCATGTCTTGAGGGCGCGGCGGAAAGTAAGGAGATCCGGAATCATCCGGATCTCGGGGGGGAGTTCGTTCCAGAGGGTGGGGGCACCCACAGAGAAGGCCCTCCCCCTGGGGGTCGCCAGCCTACATTGCTTGGCCGACGGCACCCTGAGGAGGCCCGCTCTGTGGGAGTGTACCGGTCTGTGGGAGGGAATCTGTGGCAGAAGGCGGTCTCAGAGGTAACCAGGTCCAATGCCATGGAGCGCTTTAAAGGTGGTAACTAACACCTTAAAGCGCACCCGGAAGACCACTGGTAACCAGTGCAGAATGGAATAGAATAGAATAGAATAGAATAACAGAGTTGGAAGGGACCTTGGAGGTCTTCTAGTCCAACCCACTGCTTAGGCAGAAAACCCTATACCATTTCAGACAAATGGCACTTCTTAAAAACTTCCAGTGTTGGAGCATTCACCGCTTCTGGCAGCAAGTTGTTCCACTGATTAATTGTTCTCACTGTTAGGAAATTCCTCCTTAATTTCAGGTTGCTTCTCTCCTTGATTAGTTTCCATCCGTTGCTTCTTGTCCTGCCTTCAGGGGCTTTGGAGAATAGCTTGACTCCCTCTTCTTTGGGGCAGCCCCTGAGATACTGGAAGACTGCTATCCTGTCACACACCCCCCCATCTGTTTCTTTTTCAGACATGCCTACTCCCCTTAGCAATTCATCCTACAATTTAGGATGACCCCTGATCTTTGTGGCTCTGCTCTACATGCTTGGCTCAAGTTTGCAGGAAGCCCTTTTGAAGGGCTGAATTAGCAAGAGAAGGAAATTTTCGATGACTCACTGCTTTTTGACTGCATCTGGAGAGGTTTGGTAGCCTTCAGTGTCATACTGAAAAGTGGGCTTTCACAACATCCTCTCCCAAATGGGGTGCTGGAGATTTTCCAGACGAGGGGGAAAAAAAATTAGCAATAACTTGAGATTCTGCACGGTTGGTCTCCCAAAGCAGATGTTCTCCGTTCTTGCCAATGCAGACCATGATTTGCAAAGAGAAGAACAAAATTAGGGTGGGTTTTTTTTGTGGTTTTTTTTGCCCTGCAACCTTTCTGGAAAATGATTTATGACAGGACAAGAGGCCACTTGGTGTTGGACAGAAAAGACATTGTTCTCCAGTGCGTCATCGGTCACCAAATTGCAGAACTGCATTCATTTTTGTTCTCCACACACCCGTTCGGCTTTCCTGTATATGTGATAAATAAATTATTCCCTTCCCCCCCCCCCACTGATACAACGATAGAAATTTAGAGGAAGTGGATTTAGCCCAGGGGAGTCTTCAAACCTGGCCCCTTTGATGACTTGTGGACTTCAGCTCCAGGCACAGGGGCCTGGCTGAGGAATTCTGGGAGTTGAAGTCCACAAGTCATCAAAGGGCCAAGTTTGAAGACCCCCTGATTTAGCCCATGAAGATGGTTTTAAAGGGAGGAGGGTCTCTGCTAAGGAGAGGGAGCCTGTTTTTGCAGTGTGCTGAGTCTGGGAAAGAAATGAAAGTCAAAAAAGCTAACGCAATCCTAGGCTGCATCAACAGAGGGATAGAATCAAGATCACGTGAAGGGTTAATACCACTTTACAAGGCCTTGGTAAGGCCACACTTGGAATACGGCACCCAGTTTTGGTCACCACGATGTATAATAGATGTTGAGACTTTAGAAAGAGTACAGAGAAGAGCAACAAAGACGATTAGGGGACTGGAGGCTAAAACATACGAAGAACGGCTGCAGGAATTGGATATGTCCAGTTTAATAAAAAGAAAGACGAGGGCTGACATGATATCAAGGTTCCAATATTTGAAGGCTGCCAGAGAGATGAGGGGGGTCAACCTATTCTCCAAGGCACCTGAGGGCAGGACACGAAGCAACAGATGGNGGACCACATTATTGACCCAGTTGAATTGATTGTTGGAAGAGGACCACATTATTGACCCAGTTGAGTTGGTTGTTGGAAGAGGACCACATTATTGACCCAGCTGAATTGATTGTTGGAAGAGGACCACATTATTGACCCAGTTGAGTTGGTTGTTGGAATGGGACTATATTATTGACCCAGTTGAGTTGGTTGTTGGAACGGGACCATGTCATTGACCCAGTTGAGTTGGTTGTTGGAAAGGGACCATGTCATTGACCTAGTTGTGTTGGTTCTTGGAATGGGACCATGTCATTGACCCAGTTGAGTTGGTTTTTGGAACTGGACCACATCCTTGACTCAGTTAATTTTTTTGTGGGAACAGGGCCACAGTCCAGTCTACTTTGCATGGTTGCTGTTGGGAGGGAGTGTTCAAATTGGAGGAGAGAGGGCTTTTATGTTTCCGTAAGCTAGACCAAAGCCGCGGCACAAACTTCTAGCCATCAAATAAATCCGTAATGCTTCCTTCCCAGAGTCACACACCGAAGATGAAGATTGGGACCAAAATGACCTAAGGCGGTCTTGAACTTCCGCATCCACCTTCTCCCACGCCCACCTCCTGCTTGGCTTCAGTGAGTAACCTGTTTTGCCTCTCTCCCTGCAGGACATCTGTGAGGACCCCCACCTCTTTGTGGATGGGATCAGCTCCCATGACTTACACCAAGGGCAGGTGGGCAACTGCTGGTTCGTGGCCGCCTGCTCAGCGTTGGCGTCCAGAGAGGCTCTGTGGCAGAAGGTAACCATTTTGGAAATTGTCGAAAAAAAGCTTTGGCATAGGTTTGCCACCACGGGTATAGGGTTACGTGCCTGAGAAGGGGGTTGGACTTGATGACCTCCAAGGTCCCTTCCAATTTTATTATTATTATTATTATTATTATTAATTTTCCTAATATTCCTTCCTCCTCCTCCTCTTTTCCCCACAACCACAACCCTGTGAGGTAGGTTGGGCTGAGAGAGAGAGGGACTGGCTTAGAATCAATGAGATGCAAACAAACGAACAAAAAAAAAACCCCAGGCATATTTTATTCCAGGATGCACGTTCTCTCATACTCCATAGATTTGCAAGCAATTTCTTCTCCCCACGGGATGTAATCTTGTGCTCCTTTTCTGATTGGAAAACCTGTTGGGAAAAAAAAAAGATGGGATATTGATAAATGGTTGCGTTGCAGAGTACTTTGCAAGTCATTTGAGGAAAATACACAGGAGACAAAATTCGCTTTATTTTCTTCCTTACCTGAAGGGATGTGCTGCCCTCTAGTGGAGGCTGTGTGAAATTTTTCTTCTGCAAAATGATACTTTGTGGTTTTTGTTTTTTTTATAATATTTTATTGATTTTTCTCATATTACAGTTGAATATTTAAAAAGCAAGCTGATGACTGGGTTGATTAATAGTTCAATAGCGTGCATAAGTCTGTAGTATAAATCTCATGTTGCAACATCAAATATTTCCTCTCTTTTTCCATTAATATCTGCTATCTCATATTGGGCTAGACCAGGGGTAGGCAACCTCGGCTCTTTTATGACTCGTGGACTTCAACTCCCAGAATTCCTGAGCCAGCCATGCTGAGGGGAAAGGGAGAGGTTTCCAAGCTGAGCCATGCTGGCTCAGGAATTCTGGGAGTTGAAGTCCACAAGTCATAAAGAGGCCATGGTTCCCCCATGCTGGCTGAGGAATTCTGGGAGTTGAAGTCCCCAAGTCATGAAGGAGCCATAGTTCCCTCATGCTGGCTGAGGAATTCTGGGAGTTGAAGTCCCCGAGTCATGAAGGAGCCATAGTTCCCTCATGCTGGCTGAGGAATTCTGGGAGTTGAAGTCCACGAGTCATGAAGGAGCCATAGTTCCCCCATGCTGGCTCAGGAATTCTGGGAGTTGAAATCCACGAGTCATGAAGGGTCATAGTTCCCCCATGCTGGCTCAGGAATTCTGGGAGTTGAAGTCCCTGAGTCATAAAGGGGGCCATAGTTCCCCCATGCTGGCTCATTAATTCTGGGAGTTGAAGTCCACAAGTCATGAAGGGTCATAGTTCCCCCATGCTGGCTCAGGAATTCTGGGAGTTGAAGTCCATGAGTCATGAAGGGGCCATAGTTCCCCCATGCTGGCTCAGGAATTCTGGGAGTCGACGTCCATGAGTCATGAAGGGGCCAAAGTTCCCCACATGTTGGCTCAGGAATTCTGGGAGTTGAAGTCCACGAGTCATAAAAGAGCCAAGGTTGCCTACCCCTGGGCTAGTATAATTCTTATTATCAACTAAATAAAAACATCTTTGTTACAGTTATCAATAATTTGTAGTTCTAAATACACTGATGTACAAGTAGCCCTCAACTTATGACCCACAATTTACGAAAGGAAGACAGTTGCTAAGTGAGCTTTGCTCTATTTTATGACCTTTTTTGCCGCGCCGGTTAAGTGAACCACTCCAGTTGTTAAGTCAGTAACACAGTTGTGAAGTGAATCTGGCTTCCCTACGGATTTTGCCTGTCAGAAGGTCGCAAAAGGGGATCACGTGACCCTGGGACGCTGCGACCGTCATAAAGGTGAGTCAGTTACCAAGCGTCCGAATTTTGATCACGTGACCGCGGGGACGCTGCGACGGTCCTAAGTGTGAAAAACGGTCATAAGTGCCATCGTAACTTTGAACGGTCACTAAACGAACGGCTGTACGTTGTTCTTGTGGGGAGGGGGGAACAAGGAGGAGGGAAGAAGTGTTGGATATATTCACTGCCTTGAGTTCTTTGTAAAAAGAACCAAGGCTGGATACAAATTAAAAAATAAATTATTAATTCATAGCCACGGGGCGCTGCAGCCAATCATAAAATGAGGACTGGGTGCCAAGCGCCCAAAATGCAATCACGTGATCGTTGGGGTGCTCGCGTTGGGGGTGTCTAGGTGTGCGTTTGTGTGTGCGTAGCAGTTGTGAGTTCCAGAATGGATCGTAAAATTGGGGGTGGGTGAGGGTTGAAGACTATTGTAACCTAGAATGTTCATGACGTGGCCAGTCGTAAGTCAAGGACTGTCTGTATCTTGCTTCAGACCCCCCTTCTTCTACGTCAGACGTGTCAAACCCAAGGCCCAGGAGCCGGATGCGGCCCGCGACGTGGTTTCATGTGGCCCCCGAAGCCATCCTGGAAACAGTGAGGGAAAGGCCCCCGCTGCCGTGGCCCTGGCCCAGACCGGCCGGGAGCCAATGTACAATTTTGGGGTGGCCATCTATGCTGAAATGCATTCAGTCTTAGCTCCACAAGGCCGTCCGGAAACAGCGAGGGACCGGCCCCTGCCGCATCGCCCCCGCCCCCTGGGTGCATGCTGGGGAGGGGTCACCCTTTGTGAGGAATGGAGAAATGGACCATGCCTTGGCGCTTGCCCCGGTCCCACCCCCTTCTGCCAGAGACCCCCAGATCTGCCCCACTCCTGCCCAGGCCCCCACAGGCACCCTTGACGCCAACGATGTAGAGCTGGCCATGCCCACCCAGTAGGCCACACCCACTTCATCCACGCCCACCCAGTAGGCCGCACCCACCCTGGCCACATACCCCTGCCCCCCCCCGAGGGCAACCGCAATGCTGATGCGGCCCTCAATGAAATTGAGTTTGACACCCCTGCTCTACGTCCTCACAGCCTCCCCGTTTGGTCCTGGGGGATCTTATTCAAGCAGAGGAAGAAGCTCCCCGGCGTCTTATTATTTGACATCTTCCTTCTTCCTCTCTGGACTCCCAAATCTCTTCTGGCTTGTTTGCTCAAGGCGGATTTTTCCATCGTGGCCTTTTGAGCTGAAGGGGAGAAAAAGCACTCGGCTTCTTCCTGGTGCTCGTCGCCCTGAAGGGAGAAGCTTCCAGGGCCTTTATGAAGGTGGATGTTTTGGAAATGGATTGTTGGAACAGGTGGACCTCGACTTACGACAGTTCGTTTAGTGGCCATTCAAGGTTACACTGAGCAGGGGGTTGGACTAGAAGACCTCCAAGGTCCCTTCCAAGTCTGCTATTCTGTTCTATTTCTATTCTATTCTTTCTATTCTATTTTCTATTTTCTATTCTCAATAAAGATTCTATTCTATTCTATTTTCTATTCTATTCTATTCTTCTATTTTCTAATTTCTATTTTCTATTTTCTATTCTATTCTCAATAAAGATTCTATTCTATTCTCTTTTCTAGTCTATTCTCTATTCTATTTTCTAATTTCTATTTTCTATTCTATTTTATTTTATTTTCTATTTTCTATTCTATTCTCAATAAAGATTCTATTCTATTCTATACTATTTTCTATTCTATTCTATTTTATTTTCTATTCTATTCTACTCTATTCTATTTTCTATTCCCATCACCATCTTCATCTATTCTATTCTATTCTATTCTGTTCTAGTCTATTTTCTATTTTCTATTGTATTCTATTCTCAATAAAAATTCTATTCTATTCTATTTTCTATTCTATTTTCTGTTCTATTCTATTTTCTATTCTATTCTATTCTCTATTCTATTCTTTTCTAATTTCTATTCTATTCTTCTTCTATTTTCTATTTTCTATTCTACTCTAGTCTATTCTATTTTCTGTTCCCATCACCATCCTCATCTATTCTATTCTGTTCTATTCTATTCTATTCTATTTTCTATTTTCTTTTCTATTTTCTATTCTATTCTATTCTCAATAAAGATTCTATTCTATTCTATTCTATTTTCTGTTCTATTCTATTCTATTTTCTATTCTATTCTCTATTCTATTCTTCTATTTTCTATTCTGTTCTATTCTACTCTGTTCCATTCCGTTCCATTCCATGACCATTTTTCACACTTACAATCCTCGCAGCACGGTCACCTGATCCAAATTCGGACCCTTGGCAATTGACTTTATGACAGGGTGTCCGTGTCACGGGATCCCCTTTTGTGACCTTCTCACAGGCAAAATCAATGGGGGAACCAGATTTATTTAACAACTGTGGGGAGAACAGTTGTAAAATGGGGCAAAGCTCCCTGAACAACTGTCTCGCTTAGCAACAGAAATTCTAGGCTCAATTGTGGTCCTACGTTGAGGACTTCTGTATTTCGAGAAACTGGTACTATTGGTTGAAATGGAGAGAGAGGCTGTCGACTTGTTATTATCGCCGGACCTGACGCAAATCAGAGGCCATCTTCGTTGTAAATTCGTTGTAAATTTTTGGTCCCTTTTAATTGGTTTCCCCGTTTTCCCTTTTATGTTAGTTTGGATTTTAATGTTGGACTTTGACATTTAATCAAGATATATAAAGAGGGAAAAAAGAGGTGGGAATTCTTACACCAATTCTTATCTGAAGTCTCTGTACAGCCCTGAATAACATCAGCTGAACAAGCACTAAAAAAAGTCTAACTATGTCTTCAAAGTTGCTGAGATTGAGAAATACTGCTTTAATGCACAGGTAGTCCTTGATTTATGACCACAGTTGATTCCAACATTCTGTTGCTGAGCACTTCTGTGGTTAGGTGAGTTTTGCCCCATTTTATGACCTTGCTCGCCACAGTTGTTAAGTGAATCACTGCGATTGCTAAGTTAATAACACAATTATTCACCTAATGGCTTTCCCCACTGACTTTGTCTGGAGTTGCAAATGTGAAAGCACCACCTGGCACGCTGCAACCACAATTGTACGTGGGGGGGGGGGACTGGCTGCAAGTCGCTTTTTTCAGTGCTGTTGTAATTTCAAACGGTCACTAAACGAACGGTTGCAAATTGAGGAACACCCTATGGTCAAAACGGTCATAAATAATCAAATTCCAGAGCTTCTGCGTTTCCTAAATATATCAGGGAAGGTTGACTAGATGCCACCAACTTGCCCACGGACTAGCTTGTCCGGCCACATCCATTGTGTGCAATTGCAACTTAGAAGGAGTTGTTGTGCTGCTACAGCTGTGTTGTCATCCTCCGTTGCCAGAGGATCTCCAGAGAACCTCTTAATGAATGAAATTCGGAAGGTGGCACACCGAGGGATTTTCATCTTTCCATGATCGTATTCGCCAAGGGCTGTCTCACGTGCCCTCCATTCATGAGATGATAATAATAATAAAGTTGGAAGGGATCTTGGAGGTCTTCTAGTCCAACCCCCTGCTCAGGCAGGAAACCCTATACCGTTTCAGACAAATGGCTGTCCAGTCTCTTCTTAAAAAATTCTTAAGTGTGATTGTGTGTTTGGGTATGTTAGCAACATCCTTCAGTATCTGCCACCACTTCTGTGGTGTTAGAGCATTCGCAGCTTCTGGAGGCAGGTAGTTCCACTGGTTAATTGTTCTCACTGTCAGGAAGTTTCTCCTTAGTTCCAGGTTGCTTCTCTCCTTGACGAGTTTCTATCAGTTGCTTCTTAATAATAATAATAAAGTTGGAAGGGACCTTGGAGGTCATCTAGTCCAACCCCCTGCTCAGGCAGGAAACCCTGTACCATTTCAGACAAATGGCTGTCCAGTCTCTTCTTAAAAACCTCCAGTGTTGGAGCACCCACAACTTCTGGAGGCAGGTTGTTCCACTGGTTAATGGTTCTCACTGTCAGGAAGTTTCTCCTTAGTTCTAGGTTGCTTCTCTCCTTGATTAGTTCCCATCCGTTGCTTCTTGTCCTGCCTTCAGGTGCTTTGGAGAATAGCTTGACTCCCTCTTCTTTGGGGCAGCCCCTCAGATACTAGAACATTGGCTATCATGTCCCCCCTCGTCCTTCTCTTCATTAAACTAGACATACCCAATCCCAGCAACCATTCCTTGTGTGTTTTAGCCTCCAGTCCAATCCTGACCCCCATTTATTTGGCAAACCGAAAGCGGTTTTTTTGCCAGCCACCGGTCAAATCCCTGGGTGGAATTGCGAGTGCTTTTTTTTCTATAAACCCTTTTTAAATCCTGCAATAGTCTGGAACCAGAATCATTTGGCAGGCGGCCTGGGTTCAGTCACCACTAAGAAAAATATTTGCAATTACCTTTCTAAAAAGCTTTCTTCTTCTTCTTTCTCTCGCCCTTTGACAACAGGGCTGGTTGGGAAGTATGGGAGTTGAATTTTAGCCAATCTTGAGAGTGCCAGCTCGCTTGGATGGCTCTTCCAAGTATCTTCTTTTGCCATTCAGACACAACCACCTTTTTCTCCATCCCTGGATGGTTTGCAACACAGTCCTAGCTTACATTAACAGAGGGATAGAATCAAGATCAGGTGAAGTATTAATACCACTTTACAATGCCTTGGTAAGGCCACACTTGGAATCCTGCACCCAGTTTTGGTCGCCACGATGTAAAAAAGATGTTGAGACTCTAGAAAGAGTACAGAGAAGAGCAACAAAGATGATTAGGGGACTGGAGGCTAAAGCATATAAGGAACGGTTGCTGGAATTGGGTATGTCTAGTTTAATGAAGAGAAGGACGAGGGGGGACATGATAGCAGTGTTCCAGTATCTCAGGGGCTGCCCCAAAGAAGAGGGAGTCAAGCTATTCTCCAAAGCGCCTGAAGGCAGGACAAGAAGCAATGGGTGGAAACTGATCAAGGAGAGAAGCAACCTAGAACTAAGGAGAAACTTCCTGACAGTTAGAACAATTAACCAGTGGAACAACCTGCCTCCAGAAGCAGTGAATGCTCCAACACTGGAAGTTTTTAAGAGGAGACTGGACAGCCATTTGTCTGAAATGGTGTAGGGTTCCTGCCTGAGCAGGGGGTTGGACTAGAAGACCTCCAAGGTCCCTTCCAACTTTATTATTATTATTATTATTATTATTATTATTATTATTATTATTATTATTATCATCATCATCATCATCATCATCATCATCATCATCATCATCACCATCATCATCAAGGAGAGAAGCAACCTGGAAATAAGGAGAAACTTCCTGACAGTTAGAACAATTAATCAGTGGAACAACCTGCCTCCAGAAGTTGTAGGGGCTTCATCATTGGAGGATTTTAAGAAGAGATTGGACCACCATTTGTCTGGAATGGTATAGGGTCTCCTGCTTGAGCAAGGGGTTGGACTGGAAGATCTCTAAGGTCCCTTCCAACTCAGTTATACTGTTATTCTGAAAGGCTTGCCTCCAGAAGTTGTGGATGCTCCATCCCTGGAGGTTTTTCAAGAAGAGATTGGACAACCATTTGTCTGGGATGGTACGGGGTCTCCTGCCCAAGCAGGGGGTTGGACTAGAGGACCTCCAAGGTCCCTTTCCAGCTCTGTTATTCTGTTAAACCTGTCCCTACTTGGGAACGGTTGTTAAGCCAGGTTGTTAGGGCTGCCGACATCAAGAGACTTAGCCCAGGGGACGATCCTGCCATCGACGAACGGTTTGTCCCTCCCTGGAAAATGAGACACCCAGAGGAAACCCCCTCGGGCACCTTGCTTCCCCGGGCCACGTTGCTTAGCATCACTGGGGTACCAGCAGGTGAGCGAAGACGCAGAAGCAGATTTCCTTCTGCCTGCCAGACACCTCTTGGTCGCTCTCGAAACCGTGCAGAATCTCCCCAAAGAAAGAAGAACGATGAGTTCCGAGGCAGCTGAACTGGAGATGCACTTGGTCCAGGATGCCCAGCTGACCGAGATCATGCGGATCCGCGGGAAGAGCCTCCAGCAGAAGAACGAAAAACCTCAAGACGGCGAGAAGCTCCTCCAGGACCACGAGTTTGTCTTCCGACTGGACTTCTCGCGTCAGCACGGTCTCCGTTTCCTACGCTGGAAAGTGGTCCTGGATCGGCCGGGCCAGGCCACCATCATCGGGACGTCTCAACACTGGACACCGGACTTGACCCACCTCATGCGAAGGCAGCTCTTGGAACCGGTGGGGGTGTTTTGGAAGACGCCGGAGGCGCCCGATGTGATAGAGTGCAACGAAGCCGATGCGCTGGAGTTTGGAGAGAGGTTGGTGGAGCTGGCCAAAATCCGGAAGGCGATGTATTTCCTAATAGCCTTCGCCGACGGTCTTGAGCCGACTCACCTGAAATGCTCCGTGATCTTCAGAATCTGAATCCTGTCCCAGCTCTCCTCGGTGGCTTTTTCTTCCCCTGAAATATTCTTCTTTGCTTCCTTCTGTTTTGGGCTCTGCAGCTCCAGCGGTGACTTAGTTTTGAACCAGATGGGGTGCCCTTTTGAAATGCAGCATTAAGTTCTCCTGGACCTTCCTTGTCCTTGAGCCTCACCTGATGCCGAGGTCAGCTCTAAGGAGGGACTTAAGAAACACCACCTCCCTCACTAGGTTGAGGAATCTGCTGTTTTGGAACTTGGAAAAGGCTTTTTCTTCCAGAAGTTTTTATTTCAAAAAAAAATCGATTTATAGGCCGTTCCATCTCACCGTCGCCTCTCCCAACAGAAACCGAGCTGGCTTGCGCGGAAGGTGTTTTGCGCCCCTCTTTGAAAATTTGGAGCGTTTCCCCTGCACTCAAGGCCTCCAGAAAAAGGGAATCGCCCGGTGGATTGTCTCAGAAGCCTACCTAGCAGGGCTGGATGTGAAGAAAACAGGCACATCTTGATTGCTATTCCTTTGATCCCATTCATTGCAATTATTTGCACGGTTCTCATTGCCTAAATCCAGGCTCCTGGTCATTTAAAACTTCTTTTTTTCTTTCTTTCTTTCAAAGTAAGCCCTAACTTTTCACGGATGCCGAGAAAAACATGGGTTTTTCTGAATCAAAAGCTTCCCTAACTTACTTTGTTTTCTCCAGCGCGATCAACCCACCATCAATTAGAGCATGTCAAGCATGCAAGTATTAAACAAGGGCCCTCTTCCCCCCCCCCCCTTCTTCGTAATTTTGCAAAAAAATAGCACCATTTCCTAAACTGGGAACTGAAGATCAGAGGTAACAGCTTGACGTCCTGGTAGATCAATAGCTGGATTTGGATCTGAACTTCAGGATCTCGGGATCACTTCCATCCCCCTAGCTTGCTTTTCCAGGAAAACAACAAGATTTGCCACCTCCCCAAAGGAGTGCCTTGCTATGCAGGGAATTAAATTCCTTTAAATGAAAAGCAGTGATTTTTTTTTCTTTCTTTGTGCAAATCTGAGGTTTGAAAGAAGCTTTTAAAACTTTTTTCCGCTTGATTGACGGAGTAGAATGAAAAGCTCGACACAACACGTTTGCTGGATTGGAGAAATGTTTTTGCCTGGAGACACCCAAAATTGGCTGGTTTGCTTGAAGCCACTTTGCATACAGAATAGAGAATAACAGAGCTGGAAGGGAGCTTGCAGGTTTTCTAGTCCTAGTAATTACGTGAAGTATTAGTACTGCTTTATAAAGCCTTAGGTAAGACCCCATCTGGAATACTGGATCCAGTTTTGGTCACCCCCATTGCGGAAAAGATGTTGAGACTTTGGGAAAAGCCCAGAGAAGAGCAACCGGGATGATTAAGGGCTTGGAGACTAAAACATACGAAGAACGGTTGCAGGAATTGGGTATGTCTAGTTTCATGAAAAGAAGGACTAGCAATATTCCAGTATCTGAGGGGCTGCCCCAAAGAAGAGGGAGTCAAGCTATTCTCCAAGGCACCTGAAGGCAGGAGAAGAAGCAACGGATGGAAACGAATCAAGGAGAGAAGCAACCTGGAATTAACTTCCTGACAGTGAGGACAATTAACCAGTGGAACAGCTTGCCACCAGAAATTGTGGGTGCTTCATCACTGGAGGTTTTAAAGAAGAGATTGGACAATCATTTGTCCGGAATGGCATAGAGTCTCCTGCTTGAGCAGGGGGTTGGACTAGAAGACCTCTAAGGTCCCTTCCAGCTCTATTCTGATTGATTGATTGATTGATAGTTCAACCCCCTAGGAGATAATGTTCTTTTTGTTGTTGTTGTTTTGCCCCTCTGAGCTTGTCCAAGTGCTCAAGACTTTTGATAACTCTTCCTTCTCACCCAAGCTTTGGGGAGCCCTTCCAGATGGAGGATCATGAAGTGGAACTGAATGCTGGAATCCATTGGAGTTATCCAAGGACTTTGTTTGTTGGAGGGCCTTTCTCCTTAGGAGCAAGTTTTGAAGTCCCAGCACATGATGATGTTAGCTCGTTG